GAATGAGCCGCTGCAGCTGTATGGACCCTGTGCGAGATAACTTCATGATGATTTTAAATTGGGAGTGAGACTCGGGTTTCCTGGAGTTTCCGTTCACTTCCTTCTCTTACTGAGTATCACCACTGAGGTGCTTGGACAAGAGATTTTCTTTCCCTTAATGTCGAAACCTCTCCCATTTGCTTACTCCTTTCTGACCTTATCAAGTTCTTATCAACTTTGTTATTTTATTTAACTCGTGGTTTCCGCAATATTTGACCTGGGAATATTGTTTTTGCATTAGAAGAAGGTTTTGTTGTTTTTTTTTTTCCTCCCTCAAGGAGTCTAACATAAGACCATGTGGCCATAAAGTAACATTTTGCAAAATAATTTCCCACTTAAGCATTGCTCTCTTTTGCTTCTTAAATTGTGAGGACTGTATGCCACGGCTTTGGGAAAATTAGCCTCTTTTTAAAGCGACTCCATAGATAATAAAAGGTAAATTGACCCCTTCTCACAGCTTTGTCCATTTCACGCCGCTTTGTCAAGTCTACTTGGTGAAATCATTGTTCGTTCCTCCTGATCCCCTCTGTGAAAACTATTTCCGTGGTCACTAACAATTCACCGGCCTTCATTTTAGCAGGACTAGTCTTGAAGTTGCAGCAAAGCTGAGAACTGTGCAGATTCTAACACATCTGTTTTGTCAGTCAGCTTTCCCTCCCCCATCAGAAAATCTCAGAAACCACTTGCCCAGGCTCAGGTTATCTGAGAATTTTCATATTTTATGGTCGCTGCTGCAGTTTTATGACTACATATTAATTTTTTTTCAAGAAAAAACTTTTCCAAATGGTCTCAGCTTTCCATCTGAAGGAAATCAACATATGTACAGTATCTACTGCTCAAAAAGTGACAGCTAACACAAAACCCCAGATAACGCAAAAAGATAGAAAATAAAACAAAACCAAACCACCTTTAAGACTCAATACCAGCATCCTCAAAATCTATATGTTGAACTTTCAGTATATTGATCCCAAATAGGGTGTGCCCTTGGCTTCTAATTGAAACCTTCTTTATAATCGTTGGCATTTGAAACATTTAGTCTGTCAAATCATGAGATGTCTTTATGGCCATATAATAAACCCAAGAGAACAAGTTCTCTGGCTGTAGCCGTCTGCAATGATCACAAGGGTAGCTTACAAAACCCTGACAGTCTTTATGGTAATAGGATACATATGGCAGCCCACAATTACGTATAGCTGCATTCAATTAGTGTTGTACAATTACACAGTTTTATTGCTTAGTTAAAACAGTGAGAGCACTACACGCTGGGTAATTTGCACTAATCCCCATATTTTTAATAGCCCTTCGGTGTTTAAAATGTAGGGGAACAGCTACAGTATTTAAGGGGTCTGGGATGAACCTTAAATTATACCTCATGTTGCGAACTCCTTGACTGACAATTAATGTGCTCCCACTTCACGTGTGGGTCATGTTTTATAGAGGCTTTAACAGACAGTAGTGGCAAAATGTTCCTCCTCTACCAAAGCTCAACTCAGTGGGTTAGCTTGTCAGGGCCTGTACTTGCAGCCCGCTGACACCCTTTCTGAGACATGCTCAAGATTTGAAGAGCCACTCAAACAAAACCTCAGAATTCATTCTGAGACTTGTCTGTTTGTTTGCTTATTTTTAATGTTTGTGTTTTATTTGTTGACACTCAAGAGCAACCTCAAAATTTTATTTATTTTTAAGTATGGGTGTTCCCTAGAGAACATTGCCCATGAGGGCCAGAAAAGGATATCAGATCCTCTGGATCTGGAGTTACAGGCAATTGTAAGTCATAAGATATGGGTGCTGGGAACTGAACTTGAGTCCCCTGGGGGGGGGGAAGTGTTTTTAATGACTGAGCCATTTCTCCAACCCTGAAACGTTAGCGTCTTAAATGAGAATTTGTGAGCAAGCTTCATGCTTCCTAACTTTTACTGAAAACCTTGGTTCCATGTAAATCTAGAGCTGCCCTGGAAATACTGTGTAAGGATAGTTTTGGCAATGTGTGTTGTACACACACGAACCACAAAACAAACAAACAAACAAACAAAAGCCAAAGTTTTAATTACATCTGCAAATGGCCTCCCCACAGGCCTGTCCACGGTAGATACAGTGAGAGATAAGAGTGAATGGCCTCCAGTTGCAGCCAGCACTCCTGATGAGCCCCATTTGTGTGAGGGTTCAGTATGCCATGTAAGGAGGGGACACTTCCACTGGAAAGGGCATAAACACTGCCGTACATTTCCTCCACCCTACTACCAAAGTGTTGAAAGAGGAAAAAACCCAAAGTAACCTTGTTTCCTGCCCTGACAATAAGTTAAACAGAATTCCAAACCAGAGGCCTGGACATATATTCATTCACCTGCAAAAACATTTTGTTGAAACATTTGTAGAGGACCCGTGTCTTCAATTACATGGGGTTGGCCTTTGTCTCTGAGCTCTTTTGTCTGTGCAGCCTGAGTATAACGTGAGTCTCTTTATACTCATGAAAATTCTATTACAGAATCTACAAAGATTAAGATTTAAAAAAAGCAGGGGAGGGCATTACACATGTGTGTGACTAAAGAAATAAAAAGAAATACAAAATTTTACCTTCAGTATATTTAAATGCTATTTGGAGAAGTATCGGTATTTTAAAGGATGCCTCCATATTTTTTTTTTTTTTTATGTAGAATGTTTGTGTTTTCCTTTTCTTTTGATCATTGGCTTTTTGCAGTGCTGGCAGGTTGAACCCTGGTCCTTATATTTTCCTTACTTTAGACTATGTTGTTCATCTATATTAAATATAATTTATATGCAGTTAGACAGAGTTCCTATTAAAATGGCGATCATTAGTTACCTCCTCCCATGGGGATGTTACAAAGTCATATTCAGAACCACAACAGGCGGTTGTGACTGGTGACTGGGTCCTCCAACATCTGGTTTTGTCAAACTTTTGAATAAAGTTAGGTGATACAGATACTGTGTTTAGGGGTGGGGAGTTTCCTGTATAAATGGAGTCGAATATATCAAAATCTGCTCAGCCTCACAAAGTACACATCATGAATGCTCAGACCCCACTGAGCATCAAAGCGAGAGGGCATTTTGCAATTTAGAAAAGTTATTGATACCAAAATGGAATTCAGGAGGTAAACAGCTCTGGTTTGTACGGGAAATGAACTAGACAGCCAATCTCTGCGTTCCCATCTCAGATTTCCTTTCATGAAAAACATTTGCTTATTGTTTGGATGGCCAGAACGATAACATTTACGCTGGCTTGGGAACATTCAGGCTGGTGCCTCAACGTGCTAACGTAAAGCTGCACAGTTGCTTTAAGTAGAGAAGATAGCGTCCGTCCCCGAGGACAGATGGACACATGGCTGCCTTTGCCCTAGCAGCCCACCTGCAGGTGATTGCCTAAGTCTTTGGATATCTACCCAAGGACAGCCTGAACTTGATCAAGATCCAGAACCCTGGGGGCAAACTGCACAAGATGTAGCCGAGTCATTTCCATGTAGACAAGACAGTCTCTCCAGAGAAGCAGCTCTGCCTCTGACAAAACAGTCAGCTCCAATTGGTCATTGTCGACGCTGCAGCTAAGCTGGCCAAACATCTGTCCAGGTGCTTCGGTAGAATGCAAAAGCAGGGAGATATAGCCTGCAGACGGTAGCAGTGCTCCTGAGATGCGTGGAGATGCTGCACAAGAGACCCACTGGGCTTCAGCAAGATGATCCTCGAGTGACCACAGCAAACATGCAAGCCTCAACTTGCTGGCCAAATTATTTTGATGAGTGTGGAAAACTTGGCCATTTCTTTGGAGGATCTCTTGAAGGTTGATTTTGCAACCCGGAAATAGGGTTGTATTGTGACTGTCTTCATCTTAACTGAATCCAGGAGAGGGCACTGATAGAATTCTGCACTCCCCTTTATCCTTTGAAATTATTAAAATTGTTTGAGCTGCTTTAAAAAAAAAAACTATATCCTTTTGATTTGATCTCGGGCTAGCATTAATGGAGCTCCCATATTTGCCCAAGAGTCATGGGCATGTGTGTTTTGACTGGTTGAGAGGAAGACTGGAGACTTGCTGCCTTAATGAGGAAAGCTGACCCAGTGCTAGCTCTATACCCAATAAATCTTTGCAAATTGCCACAGGTGAGATAAAATGTGAACATGCGTTTCAATTAGTAATAAAAATATAAATTGATCTTGCTGTAAATGTGGGGCACTGAAAATAAAGTATTTTAATATGTGTGTGGATGTTTTGTTCTATTACTGAAGGGTGGCATGCTTAAATCATCTCACATGTGGAAATGAAGTGATTGTTTTCATGAAGGGTAGATTCAAAGCTCGAGACTTTCTGAGCTGCCTTTTGTGGAAAACATCAAATGCAGATAAGCAAAGGGAGAAACCTCCGTAATCCTGCTTCTCAGAGCAGGAAGGCCAGTGCTGTGTTATTTCAGAGTTCGGTCCTTATTTTTATTTTTAATGGGCATGTTATACAAACCATCCTGGAGGGCCTCTCCTCACTTTCCAAGTATAATTTAATAAATATGACCCCGACATTACCATCTTAACTTGTTTTACATTTCTTCATTGCGTGTAAGTGTGAGAGGATATGTGTATGTGTGTGTGAATATGTGAATGTGTGAGAGAGAAAGACTGTGTGTTTGGGTGTGTGTTCGCCATATATGGGTTTTGTGATGAAGCTTATGCCATCAGGCTTGTTGGCAAGCATCTTTGCCCACTGAGCCATCTCCCAGCCCCCACATCACTACTTTAATGAGCAGCTACATCCAGTCGTATAAATGTACCTATTATTTGCTAAACAGATTTCCATTTGCCATTCCTTCTTTGCTTCTAATGTTGTAACAAAATCAGGCGATGCTCCTGAATGCCTATCCTTGCAAAATTGTCTGGGCTTTTGTTGCTTTGTTTACATTAAGTTTAAACCAAAGTGCTCTTGGCTTTAAGATACTTAGGATTTTTAACTTTTATTTTAGGTGTATGAGCACCAGGATGGCAGTAAGTCACTCAAGTTGGGTGACTTTGGCCTGGCCACCATTGTCGATGGCCCCCTGTACACCGTCTGTGGTACCCCAACGTATGTGGCTCCAGAAATCATTGCAGAGACTGGGTGAGTGCCCCCTTCCCCGTACTCTAGAGCTTGCAAAAGAATAGGAATCATTAACTTGGACAGAATCAGCTACTAACTCTCCCTCTATTTCATCCCAACTCCCTCCCACCTCACCTGTTCAGCAAGCCATTTTCCTGTTGTCCCAATCAGGTTGCCAATGACTGTCATTTTGTTTAAGGCTTGCATTTGGTCTCTGCCAAAGGTAAAAACAACTATTATTCATTAGATTTCTAATAAACGTCCAGATTAACTGGAGAAACATACACCAATAGTAATTAAATCACCTTTAAATATAAAATGATGGGATACTGCTATAGCCTGTTATAAAGTCTCCTGGGGTCATTTTCCCTTCGAGCTCTATACCCTGGCCCTGCATTAGTCATCCTAGAGAACAACTACTTCTTTAAGGAAAACAAATGTCAAGAGCCTCTGAGGACTGGCCACTGAACGTTTGCTGGTGTGTGTGCAGAAGGAAATGAATGTCAGTCTCTGCCATAGATTGAGAGGGGAATGAGCTGCCATGTAGGTGCTGGGAACAGAACCCAGAAACTTCCGCAAAGCAGCCAGAGCCTTCAACTGCTGAGCCATCTCTTCAGTTCTGTTTCGTTTTGTTTCCTTTTTTCTTTTGTGAAATATAATTTCTATGTGGTGTAAGTTTTACTTAACTTTTTAAAGTTAAAATATAATTATATTATGTCCCTTCTTCCTTGTCTTCCCTCCAGCCCCTCTCATTCTCCCAGCCCCTCTTGTAACTCATGGCCTCTTTTTTGTTGTTGTTGTGATTATCACATATATGTGAATAAACATAGGAATGCAACCCCTGATGGGTAAATTTATTGTTGCTTGTATGTATATGATGTCAGGAATGTCCCAGGGATAACAGAACTGGGATACTCATCCATTGGGAAAACTAAATCTCCTTTCTCAGATTCCATTATTCCTTATTTGCCTATAATTCTTTGTCTAGTGGTGGAGGCCCATAAAATTTGTCTCTTCCTTCTTAAAGTGCCTGCTGATGCTGTCCTTATCCAGGTCTTGTTTAGGCAGCCATATTTGTTGAGGGATCCTGGGTGAGGCTTCCCAATCAGAATATAGGAGAGAAAATCACAGAGCAGATTTCCTGGACCTCTGGCTCTTACAATATTTCCGCCCCTTCTTCCATGATGTTACCTGAGCATTGGGTACATGATTTGTGTAAGAATCTATTAGGGCTGTTCCCCCCCCATGATCAGTTCTTCTCTTCATCTTGACTGGTTGTGGTTTTCTGCAATGGTCTTTCTGTTACAAAGAAAAGCTTCTTTGATAAGAGGTGGACATAAGTATAAATACTTAGAATTCAGTTAGAAATTGTTTAGTAAAGTGGCAGTAATGGGTCCTCTCCAAGATCTGTGGCCTCACTAGCTGTGGGTAAGCTGGCATGATTTCCATCCTGTTGATCAAGTCTTAAATCCAATTAAGCAGCTACTGGCTACCACTAAGACAGGAGTGGCACTCTTACACCCTTAGGGTTCTCTTGACCAGCTGATCATTGTTGTGGTTCGTAAGCATCCTGGCCAGGTAGGACTGTTAGTTGCTTCCCTCCCTTGGCAGCTTGCACTGCACCTTCTACTGTAATGACAGAAATCTTTGGTAGGGGCAGTGAGTTTTAGTTGTCAGGTTTTTAATTTTTTTGCTTGGTCTCATTGTGCGTGCAGTAGAAGAGTCATGTATTTTAGCTGTATAATTTGCCCTGGCTGACTTTGCTAACTCCTACTTTTTTTTTTTAGATATGGCCTCAAGGTGGACATCTGGGCAGCTGGTGTGATCACTTATATCCTGCTGTGCGGTTTCCCTCCATTCCGTGGGTATGGGCAGCAATCTTTTATTCAGCACCAACAAATCATTTCTCTATTCTCTGAATGATCTATTTGCCCTTCTCACACAAAGGAGCCTGTAGCAGCAGGGAACATATTAAGAACCCCACTTGCAATTCCCATTCTTTTTTCCATGGTGTGTGCTAATTTACACGCTTTCCATAAATCTTCCTCACATAGTCTTTAACCTCATTCTTTGTTAATTTGCCAAAACAGTTGCTTACTGACTTTTTTAGTGGCTTAAAATAATAAAAGTGCACTGTGCATCTTGAAGCATACAAGAGGGCTCTAATGCACAAAATGGCAGGGTGCACAGTGAGCTGACATTCCACTTTGCTTTCTCCTGTTGTTTGTCTACACAGAAGTGGCGATGACCAGGAGGTGCTTTTTGATCAGATCTTGATGGGCCAAGTGGACTTTCCATCTCCATACTGGGACAATGTGTCAGATTCTGCCAAGGTAGGGGTCTTGCTGCTGTCCTTCCTTAGAACCTGGTACCTTAATGGAAGTGTGAACGCTAACTACATCAGCAAGTGTGAAGAGACGAATGATAACAATGTGACTTCAGGGCACTCGTTAGGTGGAATTACTGCATTCTCCAAGATTTCACAGACATCAGGGCTCAATCATTCCAGAAACTGCTTGTGCACTCCATTATATTTTCAGATTTCTGCACAGCATTCTTGTTTTTCCTCCATAGGTTTTGACTGAATGCCATCCTCTCAGGAAAGCCACCTCTGGCCATCATTTTCAGTTGTGGCTCTTAACTTTTACCTGGCTTTCCAAATCCTCCTCACCTTGCCCACCTTGCCTTTTCCTCCTCCTCTACTTTATTGTTTTATGAATGATGTATGTTCTTGGTCTCAAAAACAGAACATTAACTCTTATGTTCATCCTCTATATCATATAACTGTCCATCTATATCCCTCTACCTAAATAAACATAGGTAGGTAGGAGATCAAATCCCGTTTATGCAATTAATTTCCAAACTCTCCTAAGAGAATGCAAATTCTTTGAAGGCTAGGATCTTTGTCCATTCTTAAAACATTTTTATGCATATGTGTATTTGCCTGGAACTGGAGTTTCAGCTGGTTTCCAACCATCTGATATGGGTGCTGGAACCGAACCCAGTTCCTCTGCAAGAGCAGCAAGTGCTCTTAACCACTGAGCCATCTCTCTAGCCCCTGATACTTGCCCATTTATTTCATTGCCTTATCATCAATTCCTACATCATGACAAGCACACAGCCAGTGGTCATATGCATTCAATAAATCAGCAATGTATAAATAATTGAATTAAGCAACTGATTAATCAGAGGGAAGAGAGCTCCGCCTCAGCTTCTGTTGACATAAGGACATGGAGATGCCATTATTCGAGTCAAACCTTATTGGATACCTTGGATTCAGAGGTAGGAGGGGTGGAGCTCATGTTTCTTCATCCTGCTAAACCAAGACCAGCTTCTCTATGGATGGTGGGAAGAATTGGACAGCAGAGTGAACTACAGAATGTCATGGAACTGGAAATGAAGCCTGAGATAGTGGTAACTTAATGAATATTTATCATGTTTTTAAAAGTATGTCTGCATCTAAGAAAAGGAAGATATTGGTGGACATTCAGTGAATGGGGCGGGAGAAATCTTGTTCAAATGTGTATAAATTGAGCAGTGCTAATTTGAAAACCCGCAAATCCAAATGCAGTAAAATCTGAAATTTGAGTGTCAACACATGTCATCCCAAATAGAAAATTCTGTTCCTATGACAGATTGGAGTCAAATACAGGCATACTAAAAATACTGTGGAAAGGTATTTTCAGACTATTTACATATGGTGCATATGAAAGAGTTAAATTTTATGTTTTGATCTGTGTTTCATCCTCAAGAGACCATTATGTGCCTGCAAATATTAAGTTAAACAAAGATCCAAACTCCAAAAGGCACTTTGAGAAAGAGATAATCAACCTGTTTTGTGTACAGAAGTGCTGACTTAAAATTCTTGAAAATTCAGTATTGATCTGGTCATTCAGTGCATGTGACTTTTTTTTTTCTCTATCTCTTGAATTGGAGTCCCATGTAAAACTCCTCTTCTTAGACATGAGCTCTGTGCATATAAAATGATGCTTGCTGGACACCAGCCCCTCATTTTCTTCTACCGTGTCACACTTAAACTTAGGAAAATATCAATAGTTGAGAGAAATACAAAAGAAGGGCCCCAAGGTGACAGATCTGAGGGATAAGCAAAGGTCTTCTCACCTACAAATATAGTTTCACTGTGTATCCCAGGCCAGCTTAGTCTTGAGCACTCCTAACTCGGACTCCCGAGTGCAGGAATTCAGATATGTAGCAACACCCCAACATAGGTCTTCAGGAGTGCACTCAACTCTTCCAGCCAGCACTCGATAGCCTGAGGACTTGACGTGACTAACTCTAAGCTCTGTGACACTCATTGTTTTAATAAAGACTGTGCACGTTGGAAAAGGAATGAAGAAAGTGAAAGCAGGGATCCCATGTGGCACAGAAGGAATGTGTATCTATCCATTTCTAATCCAAAGTGGACAGAGACATGACAGAGTCAGTGTGCCGCCCAGAGCGGTATCTCTATCTCCAGACAATATTTTCCCTACTTTACTAGACAGCTTTTAGCAGTTTCTCTTCAATTTATTTTCCTTAATCCTTGATATGCTGCCTGGAAATCGAGGCGAGGAGCCATTTTTTCCTTTAGTCTGTCAAAACAAAAATTTAAAGTACTTTTGAAAGATTTTTTTTTAATTTTTATTTCATAAGTAGGAATGTTTTGCCTGCATTCATGCATAAGCAATTCCTGTGTGCAGTACCTGTAGAGGCCAGAAGAGGGCAGGAGTTCCCTAGAACTGGAGTTACAGGTGGTTATGAGCCATCACATGAGTGCTGGGAACTGAACCCTGGGTCCTCTGGATCACGGCCATTGCTCTTACCCACTGAGCCACCTCTCCAGCCCCAAAAGTTGTTCTTTATTTTTAATATGACTTCTAAGCAACTAAGAAATCTGGCTTTAAACTATAACATCCAAACAGAAGGGTGGATCACTTGTTATTTAACATGAGCAACCACTTTGCTTCTGAAAGCATTTTATGAAATTTACTTCAACATTAATTTGATTTTTTTTAACATCAGTTAAGCTGCGTGTTTGTGTTCCAAAAGTTCATGGGACGTTCTCTTTAATATGTGAAGATATGATCTAGCTAGTCATGGGTAAGTAGAGTGACGGGGTTTAGGTGGTGAGCTTTTCAAGCTCAAATTTGCAAACCCCAGCTTTTCTCCCCAAGGTCGGATAAACAGAATCTAATGTTCCCCTCCACAGGGGCTCATCAACATGATGCTGTTGGTGAACGTGGACCAGAGATTTTCAGCTGTGCAGGTCCTTGAGCATCCCTGGGTTAATGTAAGTCAGCTTCGTTCTCTTCCGTCACTGCCGGCAAAAGTGTATTTGCAGGTTTCCCAGTGGGACCGCCCCTTTCTTGAAGTGTTGTGTTTGGCTTGGTTCCCCCCCCCCCCGCAAAGTGTGCCGGTTACAAAATCACCCGTATATTCCATGGAGGCTTCTGATAATGTCCACCTTGCTTGCTTCCTGAAGAACTGAGAGGTTGATATGGACGTGGTCTTGATCCTCCTACCTCACAGCGGCTTTCTTTGTGCATGGAAACACTAACAGAATCATTAGTTCACTGATACAGATTCTGCCAGCCTCTCCTCAGAACTGCCAGATGTAGCTCTAGGTTGAAGGTAACAAAATGTCCTTATTCCCTTCCTCTGAAGTGTCATGGAAGGCGACATGTGGCTTCCTTCTAAAACAGCTATGGAGAGCAAGGCTTGATGGGAAGTACACTCAACAGGTGAGGTGGCATGCAGGGTAGCATATGCTTGGATCCAGCTTCTGCTGGATCAGTTGATGGTCATGGACCAGCAAACCAGTGCTTCCCATGTCTGGATGAACTCACTCATAAAGCCTGGTAAGGTTATCTTCATACAGCAGGAGAATATTAATGAATATAAGCATGTAGGGATGTGAGCCAAGGTTTCTTTTAGGCCCTCTGAAACATAGCACATAGCAGAGTCTCCAGAATGTGGTACCGATGGGCAAGGTACTCATCTCCTCATCCCTGGGACAGTGGAGCAGGCCAGCTCCCATTCAGAAATAATCACCCTGAGTCCCACTAACCTTTGTGTTTACATCAGGATGCTAAGACAAAAATTGTCTTTTTGTCTTTTTCTACAAATTAGGAAGGTTGTGACAGCATCTTATTTGAGCCTGGTAACAAGCTTGCAAGATAGTAAATGTGAGTCTTACTGTACTCACTTCACAGACGAGAATACTGGGGCCACAGGATATGATTTTTCCAATGCAGTCACACTTAGAATAGAGAAAGAATTTGTAGCCAAACATCCCACACTTCAAGCTCAAAGTCTACAGGGTATAGTGTACCACACTAAGTCCGCCCATCCCTTATAATAAGCAAAAACTCAGGGAATATAGCAGACAAGTGCCATATGGTAACATTACCTCAAGTCAGTACCCTTTTCAGACTAGTTGGTTTTACTCGGGAGTCATACCCTCTCTCAGGTGTGTGAGAAGGAAGAGCTACAGGCCAACTGCAGGTTGTCTTGATGGTGGTAATAAATCTACAATGGTCTTTGTGAGTTCACTTAAGAGCCATTTAATTTAACAACTTGTCAAATTAATTGGGGGGAGGGGTTACTGGAAACATGGAACTAGGTGACCACACACGGAACAGTAAGATCTGAAGCCTTATCTTCTAAAGCAAAGGGGTTTGTAGATGACAAGAGCCATTTTAGATACCCAAACCTGTTTTTACTCTCTCTCAGACCTCTGGACATTTAGGTTTCTGCTTCATTTCAATTTTTCTTTGAGATTCTCAAAACACGCAAGACTTTCTTGAAAAAGCAAATATAAGATCCAGATATAAAATGAGATAAAATATCCCTGTAAGTCTTTCGAGTAAACTTGACATTCTCATGGGGGTGGGGGGGGGAATGCATATTGGTTGTAGAAAACCCTTTTAAAATTTGGTGTGGAAAGTGTTGGCTCTACTTTTGTTATCTTTATATGGCAAACAAGTCAGAAACTGCTTGTTTTCTCTGCTTCCGAATAATAAATTTTAACAGTAAGCCTTGGTAACCGGTGCTTAGGCTTGTTAAGGTCAACACGCCAAAGACGGAGCCATCAAAATAAATGAATTAGGGATTTAAAGGGATATAAATTTAACAAGACATTTTGCATTTGGCAATCAGATTATATCTGGCCACCACGGAAAGCCTCTCCCTGAGGGGGCTAAAAGTAATAATAGTTATGTAAACCCTTTGGATGTCTGCAGAAAACATTTCCTGTGCTCTCATTAGTTTTGATTTTCTGTGTTGCTGATACAATGACCTTCCACCTGACCCACTTGGAATTGAAAAGGTGATTTCTTATAAAACAGGAAATAGAGCAGAAGGGCAGTAGAATTTTTTTTTTAAATAGAGTCAGCAAAAATCACTTATTTTAACCTTCATCACGGAGCGTCCTTTTAGCAAGCTCATTTTTATTTTAATTTTTTTTAATACATTCTGGGTACCAACCTTACTCCTTACTTTCTTTGGCTTTGAACATGCCAAGGGTGGCAGCTGGCTCATACGCTGAGTCCAGTGAGCCACAGGAACAAAGGCATCCTAGATGTGAAACCTTTGTTGAGAGAGAGGAATGAAGGCTCACCCACCTGTGTGACTTCAGGCAAGTTGGTTTCTCTCCCCAAACCTCTTTCCTGCCAGAGAGAATAGATGGGGGAAAACAAAACCAATCAGCCTGCCTCTTAGGAGGATGCGAAGAGAATCTCATGCTTAAGGATTAGGAATCTCATGCTTGAGGGCCAACCCTTCGGTACTTAGGAAATTTTTCCTGGATTTGGTCTAGGTAAATCCAGCAACCGTATCTTCTATTGTGATACAGTGACAAAATGAAAGTATGTATACTGGTTTGTGGGTAGCTGGATTAAGGAAGACAAACCATCAACCCCCAAATGTTCCTATTTATATGCCACAAGCTCCTCCTCCATTATGTGTATGGCAGCAGCCCTGTGGATGAGGCTTTACTGCGGTTACAAAATGCCAACAGGATCTGCCACAGCCAAGTTCATTCACCTCATTGACCGTCTCTTGTAGAGCCACGAGCTTAACATATCTTGGTCATTTTAGGAATAAAGAGCAGTCACTTTCACTGAAATGAGCTTTATTGACAAATAGTACATCTTGAGGGAAAAGTTCAGACAGTCAGACACTTCCAAAACAAAATCTCTATTTGTAACTAGGATCAAATGAGTATCATTATGTTTAAGTTATGTATTTCTTTCCTGGTGTTTTGTTGTTCTTGTTCTAGAATTGCTAACCTACCTTAGCCTGTGTTATTTTCCATATACTCTCAGATGCTGTCATTTTACTAATTTACATTTTTTCATTATTTACCTGAGTTAAGAGTGAAAGAAACTAAGGCACAAAGACATCAAAGCATGACACTCCTTGGAGTCTCATGAAGGTGTGATGACTGGCTCCGCCCTTTGAGGTTCTAGTTTTATTTCTCTGTTACTATGTCTGAGTGCGGAGACTTTTCAAAGCTCCCCGGTGACTATAACCTCAGACTAGCTTTAGGACTCTCTATTCTAATGGAAAGACTGGCTTAAATAAGCTCAGCTAGTTCTAGAACCAAGCCTAGACTTCTTATTTCTTTTTTAGCCTTTAAATGTACTATTGCTTCTTTTATCTTACCTAATTATTCCTTTGGAAAGATAGTGCTGATCCAAGACACTCTAAAAGAAAAAGAGAACAACAGGGAGAAGAAAAAGGTCTAGATGATATCCTAAGACAGCCTATGCTGACCAATAGAATTCAACCACAGGTATGCAAGAATACAGAGGCATTCCCTATTGTGCAGGTAGAATGAGCGATAAGTAATGAACTCGTGACATTATAATTAAATGTAAAATTACCTAACCATATTCATAAATTACAAATGATGACATGAAAAGTCACCTCCATTTGGGCATTCTCTTTTCTTACATCACGTGCAGCATGATTTGCAGACTGAGTGCCGAAGGCTTGGAGTCCTGGGGTAGTGTGGGGCTGGGGATGTTAACAGGAACAGTGGGGACAGTGTGCTGGGAGGTGAAATGCGGTGGTTATTAAAGAGCATGCTAATGAGACGGGATTATTTTAAGCTAAATCAGAATAGCCTCATAGTAAACTATTCAGGGCTTCCCTGCTTCTCATAAATCTACAGATATTTTTAATAATAAAGTCTGGCAATAAACAGACTGGAAACCAGATCCCTGATTCAAACCCAAAAAGCCATGGGGAAGGCAGCTTTTCTAATGCGTGACCCTGACATGCTTCCCCAAGGAAGGAGGGAATTTACTCTACTGAGTGACTTCACATCCGAGCCCCCGCTTCCCTCCCCACAGCGCTTCCTCAGCAACCCTGAGAGGATGGAGACCAGGAGGTGAGCTCTCCTGCAGACAGCTGGGAGAGTTCATTTTCCATTTTGCAAACTAATTTTGTTCTTGTCAGTTGCAATGTTCTGCCAAGTGGCGGATGGGAGTTTCTAAATCACAAACCACTAGCCCTAAACCACAACCAGCCTGAGCCAAACTCCAAAAATGACTCCCAGACCAGAGCGTATGGTAATAATACGACAGCTATTTGTAAAATGCTGCCAGGTTTGTCAGATCGAGAAAATTCATAGCACGTTTTTTGGCACGTAATCTATTCTAAGTGATAGTGATAAAGACGTATATATGAAAATGCATGTTTTTAGTGAGTCCTATTTATTGCATTGATGCAAGGCAGTAAGTTAGCTAACTCCCATCATCAATCTATATGGCTCGGGTACACAGCAGAGCCCCCCCAAATCCAGTTGTTTATGTCTTTTAATCCTGACTTGCTCAAGGCCTTCAAAAAAGTGTATTAAGAAATGCTGAAGACATGTTGTCCGCAGTGTGTGTGTGTGTGTGTGTGTGTGTGTGTGTGTGTGTAGTGTGTGTAGTGTGTGTGGTGTGTGGGTAGGTGGTATGTGACTCTTCCTGTGAGTGTGTTTAACTCTGCGTGTGTGTGTGAATATGTATGTGTATGAAAGTGTGTGTGTGTGTGGTGTGTGACTGAGTGTGTGACTGGTGTGTGTGAGTATGTGCGTGAGTATGTATGTGTGAGTTTATGATGTGTGCGAGTGTGTGGAGTGTGGGAGTGTGTGTGGGAGTGTATATGTGAGCATGTGGTGTGTGTGAGCATACAGGTGAGTTGCCTCCTGGAACTGAGATACCTAACTTCACTGAGGAAATGTTCTAAGACTTGTGAAGTCCAAAGCATCTCCGACAACCTGTGAGTTGTTGGGTGTCGTTCACTGCCTCTGCGTGAACTACATGAACTGCTGTGACAGCCCCAGCAAAGCACAAACGCTCACTGAAATGCAAGGCTGGAAGCCTGAACCCCCAACCTTAGGAAGAGTCACTAGGAGATTAGAACCAGAAGCAGGCTGGGGAATGGGAAGGAAGTCCACTGTGGAATGGCGGAGAGCAATTCTCTCCTCACGCACCTGCATTTATTCCATGATTGCTTATCAAATGTGTGACCTGTGCTGAGGCACTGGACTAAGACCTGGGGATCCAGCAGGGAGCAAGACAATCTGTGCATTCGAGGACTGTGAACTAGTAACTGGTGATGCGCGCTTACAGCCCTGCTCACTGTTGGTCCCAGAGAGTGCTTTGTCCTGCAGAGAGCAGAAGCCTTAGCTAAAAGGAGCCTTAACATGGGCTACGTCAAAATGGCAGAGTCATAATAACAAATGATTTGAAGGCAGTAAAGAGGATTTAAAACTTAGGGAAGAACTTTTTGCCCAGAGGGTTGTCTGGGATTTTAGGCTGGCCAATTAAGAAGCTATAAAAAAAAAAATTTTATTTATGGCCATGCATATGACCAGGTCTGTTGTCTCCTTAGCTTTGGATCTAAATCTTGGGCTAGGAGGGACAGGAAAACATGCTAACTTTGAGGGGCTTGGGGTTGGCCGTATTAACTTTTTCTTGAACATATGTCCATGGAGCCAAGGTTGAAAAAAGATTTTATTAGAAAGCAAAGTCAGAATATTTGGAGACAAACCTCCAAAGGCCTGATGGTATAGGGCCAGCAATTAAAACACAGACAGGAAAGAAAGACAGTGGATGGGGGCCTTTTAATGACAGCTTCATGAGAAAACCTTGGCTGGTTGGTCTCTGACCTCTTCTGATTCTAAGATCCTGACCTGGGATTCAGAGATGTTGACCTCACTTCCGCATATCTCATTTTTTGCCCTTTTTTCCCCCTTTGTTTCTCACTCTTTTTATCCTCCAGGATGATGGTCTCCCAGAAAATGAGCATCAGCTGTCAGTAGCTGGCAAGATCAAGAAGCATTTCAACACGGGCCCCAAGCCGAACAGCACAGCAGCTGGAGTTTCTGTCATAGCAGTAAGCATCTGAAATATCCACCTCTAACTTTTAAAAGCAGCCCTCCCGAGAGACAGGTCTTCCTCGGGAGATTCCTCCCAGATTCAGCATAGTGGGTCATTTCTTCAGACAGCGGGGGAGGCAGTCTGTGTGTGTGGAATGTTTCCCTGGGTGCCTCATTACCCCACACCTCCAGGGTACCTAGCAGCATATATTAATTTCATGATTTTTTTTTAAGAAAAAAAAAAAAGCTCTCCCCAAACTGGACTCTACGCCAGTGGGAACTTAATCCTCTGGTAAAGCATTCTGCATCTTTTTGCTAAACCCTGGAAGGAAAGGGAAGTTAGGAGGGAGATAGCACAGCGGAGAGAATCTGGAGCAATGTAGACACTGAATAATATTCAGTCTAGATCAAAGCCAGAACAGAGCAGAAAGCAAACACTGGTTTTCAGAAAGACGAAATTGCTGGGAACACCCAGTGGCGTCACAAGGTCCTGCTTCTTAGAAATTTGTTAACTTGGAATCTTTTATCATCTACCATTTTATTTGATGAGGGTGCACTGAATTTTTTTTCCTGTTCTATACACGCAGGCATACACTACATGTAACTTGATAGCTTCTCTAACAAAGATTAAATTGGTCTAAGAAATACTTAAACCTCCAACTTCCTGGTGTCAGATTCTAAAGTGCATAAATCAATGTCTCACATAACTTGAGTTGTTAACAATTTCCTCTTTAGCCAGAGTCTGTACATTTTAGCAGCACATGCAGTGTGAGAGTTGCTCAGGCTCTTTCCCTTTTCTCAACAAAGAACTTGAGACAGTCTTAACTTAGCTAGTCTTGGGAGAGTCTTCATGCTGTGGGCCAACCCTGCTGCTCAGCTCATGAGCAGTGCTCAGTGGTTAACCCTTTCTGTGGGTGTTTCAGTGTTCTGTTTTTATGTTTTTGATCATGCTAGAGTGCCAAAGCTAAGAGCCACATAAGTGACCACTTTGACGGTCACTAAGCAGGTCTTCATTAGTAACCATTGGATAGGGACATCCTGACTTTGCCAGGGGCACAGAGATGTGCTTGGTCTTGCTGCTCGCATCTCACAGTCCTCCAGGGACTTTTTCCAATACAGTATGGGTGATGACACATGAGTAAACAGACGGTTGCCCACAGAATGTGAAGTCTTTCAGATGTTCCTCAGCAATGATGAGGTTTTACACACTCATATTGTTCTTTTTGCCTCTTTATCTCTTTCCAAAACTCAATGGGGGAAAAAAAAGAATCAACTGTCCTCCATATTTTTCCATAGTGTCAGCCTTCTTTGTCATCACCTAATCTCCACCAGGAATTTTTGCAAGCTACTACCTCTTGGGGATACATAGCTAAAGCAAAGTTCTATTTTCATAGGTCTGGGTATTCCAAAAGACTTGGTTCCAGTGGGCCATCATTTTGGAATGGGGGGCAAACACCACTGTCCACAAAAAGAAATGTTTCTCTGCTCCTACCTAGAGCTCATTGCTGTTACAGAGATTGTCTATTCCACCTGGGTCATTTGGGTTTTGTCTGTTTGTTTTTCATTAATTTCATTTTAATTGGTCTTTGGTTAAGTTTGCCTTAGCTATTCAGTAACGGTTTGTTTAAAGTGTTCTGGTAGCCCTGTAGTGACTATGAGCAGAAACTTTTGTGTGATTTTCCAGTTAGCAAAGGATACATTTTTGAGGGAAAATCCTATTTTAAACAGGTACATAAATTCTGAAACCAAATATTTATTAGTTTCTTAAAACTTCATCAAAATCTCTCAACAGAATATCAGATGTCACTGATATATATTTTTTTTTCTAAGTATCACGACTACACCAATTTGAATGCAATTGTTTCCTTTTGTTTTCCTTTGCTTTGTTATTGGGTTTTCTTTTCCTTTTCTTGTCTTTTTTGTTGTCTATTTTTTCTGTCTCTTTCTTTCTTCTTTTTGAGACAAGGTCTCACCCCATGCACCATGATGACCTAGATCTCACCATCACCCTGTACACCATGCTGCTAGAACTCACTATGTAGCCCTGGTTGGCTTCATTCAAACCTGAAGCAACCTTCCTATCTCAGCCTCCTGAGGTGTGAGTCCTTGTGCCCAGCATGACTGATATTCTGAATACAGAGGTCTCAGTTTATCACTGACATGTTTTTCATGGCAACCAAACCACAATGTAAATACGAGTTGCAGAATGTCCTGTGTAACTTTGAACTGCACACGAACTGAGTGCATACTTAAGGTGCTTTAGGCATTGCACAGCACTTTGGAATAATCTTCATGTTAGCCACAGTTATTCAAATCTCAATTATGAAAAAGTATCAATGTCAGTTTCAAAAGAAAGGGTCTAAACTTATGTAGCTTCTCCAGAAGGCTTTTCGCACACCAGCATCTTCACTTTTTACAAGGAGCCCTGGAAAGCTTCAAGGCTTGAGGCGGAGCTGGGAATTAGAAGCTGGCCAATATGGCTGCCTTGCTCTTAGCTTTTAGAATAACATTGGCAAATTCCATATATTTGTTTCTGGTCCTACGTACAAAGACTATGTATTAGTAGCAGTTTTATCACAAGAAAAAGGTCCCTAGCATTAAATAATATTCCCTTCCAAACTCTGAGTACGACCGCAATGCAATAATCTTTTGTGATACAGGACTTTAGTGAAAGGTGAAATAAATACCTTTCATGAATATTATGCCTATAAAGATCACTTGACAATTTAATAATTCTGGTTTTATTTCCCCATGATAAGAACTTCTCTAATAAATATAAAACAGTGATTATTTCTGTTTGATAAATTAAAGTAAAAAAAAAATGTTTCCTTCAAACAGATTTCCCCCTGAACATATATGTGTTCCCAGGAGGCTATGAAATATGTAAATTTTTACTTTAAATTGTCTTTATCTCCACATAGCCCTGTTCTTTTTTTTTAAATTATATTTACTTTTAGAATTTTTAAAAATTAGATTGTAGTGTCAGTTTGTGAAGCTGTCTTTTCTTTTCTTGTCTTTTTCCTCCTTTTTCTGGAAACCAATAGTCATGCCATTGGTCTCTACATAGGATTTGTCTTTCTTTAGTTAGAAATCTACCTGGCACAGATCAACAATGACTATAAAGAAGTTTATGGCTTTGTTTTCTTGAGTGACAGAAGAACAAAGGGGCATACAGGGTCAGCACCCTCCTCTGCTTACAGGTGTCGTTTCTGACACACAGGAGAATGCATGGTCTGAAACATGCTGCCTTGTTCGTGCTGACACTTTTCTGCCCTCTTTCTCCTTCCACACATTATTGAAACCAAAGGAAGTCCAAATGATTAGTCCATGCGAAGGCTCCACAGGGGCCAGAGTTGGCTGGGATAGTAATTATCAATTGGAGCTCTTGGGAGTGGTGGGGCCCTTTTGAAAGGACAGAAGATGATCTAGCATTGTTAAGTCCTGCAGTGTGGTCAGTGGAGGATCTGACGCTGTCTTTGAAATTGAGATATTCTGCCTCTGAGAAGGATTCCATTGTCTTGCCACCTTTCATAGCAATTAGGAAAGGAAAAAAGAAAGAAAGAAAGAAAGAAAGAAAGAAAGAAAGAAAGAAAGAAAGAGAAGAACAGAGAAAAGGAAACAAAATGTTATTAAAATTCTATTTATAGACACGAAATGGAATTAGAGATGACATTTTCATGGTGGACTCTCTGAGAGCTTGGGGGGCGGGAGGTGTGATTAGATTTTCACAGCTTGATGAGCGCATGCCTAAGACGCCACTTCCAATTTTTTCCTCCATTTAATACTGTTTATTGTTTTAGTTGATAATTTTCCTAATGCTTTAACATTGTCCTGTCGAGTTTTGCTCATGCAAATAGAGCATTTTGGTCTAATTCAACAAATCCATACTAATCAGCTAGTAATTGTGATGCTGGGGAGCATGGTTCAATAGCCCTTGTGCCCTGCTTTATGGCACTCTGCCTGTAGATGGCAGTAGAGAACTAGTTACATGTCACCCTCTTTGTGACCTAAAATAGAGGCCAAACAACCAGCTTCTGGAGAGCAAGTGTGCTACAATTATTTTCTTCGAAAAAGAGAGAGAGAGAGAGAATACATTTTGGAGATTAAAATCACACATTGCATTCTCTGAACACTACTATAGCCTAGTTTCCAATCAGAACACCAAATCTTCAGAGTGATTTTTAGTTTGAACGCCTGGTGCCCTGGCATGTTTTTGAAATGCCTTTTGTGAATTAGAAGTAGACTCTGTCAGGAGCATCAAATCAGTGAGACACTTGAAAGAACTCCAGAATCTCTCTTCCAAAGCAAGGTGCGTCCCCAGGTGGGCAGCACAGGCGTGCAGGCAAGAAGCAAGACTATTGTTCTACAGACTTGGGGACGGAGGCTTTTACTCTTAGGTAGCCAAGAGCTAACATCTTATTCCAGAATGGGCAGTACTACCAACTTACCATGTGCTGTATTTGCTAAGCACATAACTGTACGTATGTGCTTTTAATGTTCACAAAAAGCTGTTTCACTTAATTTTTATTTCCCCAGAGAAACTCTACTATGTCATCTCTGTAGTCGAGGAGTATAACTAAGAACAGCTATATATTTTTTAAGATAAAGTGTCTCTTAAATCTAAATGTTTGTGATTGTGCACCTTCCTCATTCTTTTCCTCTTTTATTTCATAATTTTAAAGCTGTGAGTTTAAGCCTACTGGGTATGGTTGGGGAGGGTGTCCTGTCTGCGTGCTCACAGCGACTAGCAATGGTTTCCGTTTAACTGTCAAGCATTTTCTATTGTATAACAGAAGAAGGGGTATTTATTTCTTTTGAATTTGAGGACACTGTTAAATGTATATTTTAAATACCTGTTTGACAGAGAGATCTATCCTAACAAATTGGCATCCGGGATACTTGTAAGGGATTTGTGTTTCTTTATTTTTATTTTATTTTCAATGTGCAGATTATGTTATTAGCTAGCTGCTCTGCAGAAAAGGCCTCATCACTGTGTGTACGTACGTAGTTAATGAAG